GCATTTTTGGCCGAAGCCGAAACTTCGGTCGGACACTACAAATTGTATTTATTTGCCTCATATCCTCTATCTCTCTATCCATCATCTTGCGCCCTTGACCCATTGGCTAGCGAAGCCATTGAATTTATCGCCCATAAAACAGAAACCATTTAATTCTTCGTCATGCATTTTTAATAATGCTTGATTGAAATATTTTTGTTTGACGATTTTCTTAAAATTATTACGATTTATTTTTTATAAATGTAAAAACTGAAAACAATGATCAAAATTTCAAAAAGAATAGCTTGGACATAATATGGTATAAATGCTCTTCTAAAATTTCTGTTTCTAGAATTTTTCGAACAACCCTCGTATTTAGCCAACAAAATATGGCTGTTGGTATGATAGAAGGAGGTCAAACTCAGGCATATGTAGCGAATCATTTCAATGTGTCAAAAAGTGTAATTTCTAGACTTTACTCTAGATTTTTGGAGACTAAAACAAAAAGAAAGACAAAGAAGTGGAAGACCCACAGACCTGTGGGAAGACCAAAGAAAACAACACCACAACATGACCATTATTTGACTCTATCTCCTCGTAGAGAGCCGTTATCGACGTGCCGTCAAACTGGGTACTAGAATGGGAATCTGTATTTTTTACTGACAAGTCCAGATATGGTCGATTTTCTGACAGTCGACGAGTACGTGTATGGACAGCACCAGTCACACCAAAGGTACAAATTGCCACCCTATACCATAATTGTACCGTACAATTATGGTATAGGGTGGCATCCTAGGTAGCAAACTGGCGTTATATTGTCGTCATTATTAGGGCATTTTCCGACGAGGACAACTATTATTCACGTTATATTGACGTCAAGTTTTTGACTTATTTGTCACGTGCTTTTTTTGACGTTGATGATACCTAACAATAACGTCAAAATTTAACCAATACCTTTTTACGTATATTTCAAAACTCAAAACCAAACTAAAAAGAACAATGTTATAAAAAGTTTACTTTTCGTACTAACATATTAGAACCGGTAGTTATGTTTTAATACTTTTAAACTTAGATACTTTACTGGTTTGCCGCCACAATTGGTTGTCCTGTTTAGTAATGCGCATGCGCTTTTTATTAATCGCTAGAGCAGTGTTGCCGTTTGCGTGTATTTTACTCAAAAGTCAGAAATTTTCATCATGTTTGCGACTAAAATATTAAACGGGTAAGGCGGGTATTTAGCAAATTCGGATTAAAATACTAAATAAAGAAATTTTCAGTAAATAATATATACCTTTTTACCAAATATACATAATTATTGTACTCTATCATGCATGTTATAATTCTTCTTGATTACCTTATTCAAAATTTAATTTAGAATAGGGCAATGCGCTATAAAATTTATAAAGATCTTTTTTTACTTTTGCAGTAAAATCGTGTATTTTGTAATTCATCTGGCAACACTGCGCTCAAGTTCAACGGTTCAACGTTATTCGCATCCTGAATGTAGCATAGTAAAATAATGTTTGCTGGTTATATACGAACTTAAGTGCAAGTAGGGATGCGCATCGAATACAAAAACATCGATGTTGGCATCGATGTTGACATCGAAGGTTGAATATCGATGTCATCGATATATCGGGTAGAAAACATCGATTTTTCCAAAAAATCGATGTTTCAAACTAAAACACAAGTCTAAGAAAAACATGTATAAAATATATTTATTTTCAACTTATAAAAAAATACACATAAAAAAATAAACAAAATAAGTCAAAAAAAGTTAAGTTAAATACCAATTTTGCCTATCCAAGTTCTGTAGAAACAGTTATTTAGACAACAGTAACATCGCAAAGTCTAACATCGATGTCATTAAAACATCGAAAATACAAGATCGATGTTAAAAAATCGATGTTCACTTCATTAAAATCGATGTTTGACGAACATCGAATATTCGATGCGCATCCCTAAGTGCAAGTAAGTAATTAAAATAACGACTGTTATAAATTATAGATATTATAACTTATAATATGTAAACGTAATTAAGTTGTATACAAATAAATGTATGCAGAATGCTTTTAGTAGTATAGGTTATGGTTTTGCACGTTTTTACTTTTCAGCAATTTAATTTTGTAATTATTACTAAAATTCAGGCCAACGCACAGTTTTTTAAAGTATAGGTAAGAATGGTCAAAAATCGTTTCTGGTTGGCAAAAATTGTTTTCACTTGCTTTATTAAAATAGAAGAGACATTTTTGTTTTTTAGCTGCGATCGAATTTAATAAATTAATACTTTAAGTGAAGACTACTTAAGTAGTACTAATCAGTACTACTTCAAGTTATTTTTTACCAAATTTTTATAGTTATGAGCTTCTCAGCGATAGAATTTAAAGAAGAAGTGGGTGGTGGCATAAAAATTGTGCACCACACTTGGCTTACTCCTAGAAAACAAGAGGTTTTTTGGCCCATTTAAATCTATATATCAGTGGAGATTACATGACCGCTGCTCCTTTAATGCATAGTGCTCTGTAAAATAATATATATATTTTTTAATGTTTGTCCATTTGTACAAATTAAAATAGATGAACGATTGGTTTATAACCAAAGAATTATTGTTTAGGTTGTGTTATTTTTTTAATTGTATGTTTAAATTTTTATAACATGTTTTTTATTAATCATTTTTTTCAATTTCCATTGTATAAGATGTCACTTATTAGTATATGTTTGACATCTTACACCTTTGTCAGATGGGAATACTGTATGCGAGATTTGCGTATCCAAGATACAACAAATACACACATTTAAATAAGGCTATTCACACGGCGATAAAGTATCGCCGTGTGAAAAGCTACATTTAAATGTATGAATTTATTGTATCTTTATTATGTAAATCTCGTATGCAGTTTCCCCTTTTGAAAGAAGTCTTAAATTGCTAATATTATGACGTTCAGTGACGTTGTGAAAACACGTCGTTCAATGTCGTAAAATTACGTCTATCGACGTCGTTTAATGACGTCTGCGGGCTGTGACAAATTCACGGCATAATTTCCTCATATCGACGTTAATTTTTGGTAAGAATGACTTAAATTTTGACCAAAATATGACGTTTTATTCACGTCTGCTACCTGGGATATGTTTAGGAGGAAGATCCGAATTACACCGCCGACGGTGATCTAGTGGTCTAGTGCATGCTGACTACAAGCCGGAGGACGTGGGTTCGAATCCCTCCAGGGGTATGGCTGTTTATTTGTGTACTAGTCCTTCGGAGGGGACTTTAAGCCCGCGGTCCGTTCCTACCCCTAACCCGCACAAGCCATTCAGTTGGCTTATGGAACTTCTTAAGAAGTAAGGGTGGAACTAAAAGAGCACTTTTGTATATAAACATGTGTGAAAACACGAAAAATAGTGAAATTTATGAGGAGCAAATTATAAACAATGTTGTTACAACGCTGCTCTAGACTATATTGCGAGACCTCATTGCGCTGCACGAGTTATGCGAGCAATAGAAAACCACATTTGCCCTTGCCACCTATGTCACCCGACCTTAATTCGATAAAACATGCATGGGATTTTTTCCAGCGAGCCCCAGATGACCACCAGCCAAGACTTGAGACCCTTGGAAAACTAAGGCATCTGTTGCCCCTTCTTTGGGCAGAAATTCTTTAAGATATGCTGGATAACGCTTGTAACGAGTATGCCTAGACGTTGTCAAGCTGTTATTGATGCAAGAAGTGGTTACACAACTTTTTAAATTTAAAATTATAGATTCTTTTTAATTTGTGTTAAATCAGACTCTTTATTAATTTCACTTTTGGTTATAAAATGTATAAATATATATTAATTTTGGTCTCCACATACAAAAAAGTTTATTTACAAAAGTGCTCTTTTAGTTCCACCCTTACTGCCTAAGAAGTCCCAGAAGCCAACTAAATGGCTTGAGCTGGTTAGGGGTAGGAACGGACCGCGGGCTTAAAGTCCCCGTCCGAAGAACTATCCCTGCTTAAAATACCCCATAGAGACCTATATAAAATAATCTATCGGGCGCTACCGGATTCAATATGTCCATGGTTTTTTCCGGATAAGGCCCGATAGAAAATTTATAGGAAATTACCTATAGGCACACCATAACTTTTACATTTTCCCTATTGAGACCGATAGCAAATAACTCAATAAAGGATATATAGGGATATCCCTATAGAACAACCATAAAACATTTGACAAAATTTTATTAAAACCTATGGGGTCCTATGGGGGAAAAATAATTTCTACATTAATGTGCATTTTCCCCATTGAAACCAATAGCAAATAAATCAAGGGTAAATATCCCTTTAGAACAACCATAAATCCCAACTATGGGTCCTATACATACCGAAACACCCTATAGAAACACCATACATTCCGATACAAATAAATATCTATTTATATATATTTAAAAATAAATAAAATACACAAAAAAGTGAACCCAAAAACGGAATACACCACTAAATTCTACAACCAAAAATTAAGTTTACGTGTCTCGACATTTTCTTGTGTCCTTTCTAGTTGAAAATTTACCTACAGTAAATAATTATTTAAATACTCGCGACAAACTTTTCCTTAACAGGAGGCCTATAATATTTTTTTGATTTTATCAATTTGTATTGAAAGCCAAGAATAACGATAGGTTAAGAAAACAAGATTTTGTTTGTAAATATAGTATAGTATTCATTTCAACTAGACTTTTCCCTACTAATAACAAATTTCAATAAATAATACTAATATTTTCATTTACAATCGTTTTGCTCCACCCCATCACTGATTATGCAAATAATTTGAATTAGTGATCAAACATTATTTTAAATTACTTTTAAAAATTTTGATATTAGCTTAACCTTACACAAATCGTTTTGAGGTTCTCCTAATTGGGTAAAAATATACTACTTATAAATCATTTTGTATCGAATTTTGTTGTTATTGCATTGCATTGTTTGTTAAACTATTCGATCGTTTTTCATCTGTTGGAAAATAATATTGCATTAAGCCTTGTAAATAAATGATTTAATTATATTTCATATACATGTATGTTAACAAAAAATGTTTTAAGATAAAATAACACAGTACTAGTGAGTGCCATGGAATCACAAGATGATTTTTAAACTCATAGAAAAACGATTTTTAAACAAATTAAACAGCTTTTGTGCCTAAAAAAACTATCGTTCACGTTAGTTGCGACTTACGGCAATTACAAAGCCATTTAATTATGCGCGCGTTTCGTTCCACGATAGAAGGGGGCTCTGTTGGCCTGAATGTCTGAGGCAGGCAGTGCTCTACATTATCGCGCGGCCGACTACTGTCCACTGTTGACACGTCTGAAAAAAACACAGGACTGCCAGATGAACGACTGCAACTCAGCATTTCTTCGTAACTATCGCTTGTTAGACCCAATTGTTCAAAAAATTGTTCTAGATGACTTGTTGCTGGTTCAGAATTGCGCCAATATCTAAAAATATAATAATTTTTAAAAATAATTAAACTACGCAAATAAAATTTTACCTTTCACTGATATCTGATTTTGACCTTAAAATAGGTCTATCACGTTTATATCTTAAACATTTTTGTCTTTTAAAGGTACTTGTGGGAGGAGGAGGATAAGCAGTGGAACCCCCGCTTCTAGTTCTACATTCGGGTTCTTGACAACAGTAATAAGAACTTCCACCGCTATGTTGCGTGCTGGAACCACTATCGCGCCTACTTTCCTGCTGTAAATAATAATATTGGTTTATTTAAAATAACAATTGTCAAATACAGGACAGTCCCTAAGCCCTATGGGCTTGTGTGGACTATTTACAAAATGTTGCTAATTACAATGTAAATTATATTTATAAAATGTAACTTATAACTTATACTAATTTTAGTAGGGGACTAGAATCAACCTATGAATATAAAACATAGAGTACCGCAAACACGGGTGACTTTAGCGCACTTTCAAACTTAAGCTTAAAACTTTTGTGGTTAAATTTAACAATCACAAACATTAAATATTGTATACCAAAATTTGAGTCTTGAGTTGCTCTTTCATAATAACTATGTTATAATATTACGTATGGCTAAGTTTCAAAAATAAAAATTTAAAACTGGATGTGCAAAGTTACCCCCTGGTTGCGGGTAACTTTGTCTCACAGTGTATTTTCCGTATAAAATTAACTCAATATTTTATTGGCACATGTTAGCAGCGACATATAGCGATAGCAAGGGATTACCGATAAAAAAATAATGTATGATAGAAAAAATTATAATAGTTTTAGTTTTAGTGGAGGACTAGAAACAACCTAAGAATTTAATAACAAAGACAGGTAAAACAGAATAAAAAGTAAAATAGAGTCAGGTATAGCGTCAGCACAATTACACCTCACGTACAATTACACCTCAAGCAGTGTTCGCAAAAGTTTTATGTTTTTACAAAATCTTAAATAACTACAGTGTTTTAGTTCAAAAGGTAGTAGATTAAATAATTTTGGGCCTAGATAACAGAAATGTCTCTGAGTTGAAGTAAAGTGAAATCTGGGTATCTCAATATTTACACCCATTGATCTGGAGTTATGACAGAGGTTGACACTGAGCATGCAACATTACACAAGTTTAGGGCAATATTGCTATGATATATATATACAATATTCTCAAAGCAATATTGCTATGATATGATTTTCGGAAGATTGCTACATCATTGGAAAAGCAACATTACTGCACGATTCCTCCAACAGATTCGAAAAGTAATAGGTATTGACCTCGAGCATGCTCCATAGCTTACGTCATATTGCAAACTCATCAGGACCAACTATGCGAATCAAAGTGAATATGTAATAACCATAAGTACGATTTAATTTACACTTTTTTACCAAATAGTTCTAACTGCTAGATCAAAGCAAGGCATTTGATCTTGTAAATCACACGCTGCTACTGTCAAAGTTAAAGCATATTGGTCTAGGCACTGCTCCGTTGAAATGGTTCTCAAGCTATCTTAACAACAAGTGAAAATTAATACTAATTTATCTTCCAAGATGAAGCTAAAAAGCGGCGTGCCTCAGGGGAGTGTGCTTGGGCCAGTTTTGTTTTCAATTTTTGGTTTCGACATCCTGGGTTGCTTTGATTACTGTAATATACACTTATATGCCGATGATTTGCAAGTGTATTTAAATTTTAAATCGGACAGCTTCTCAGCGGCGTTGCAACTTGCTGTTCAAATAATGGACTTAAAATAAATCCAAATAAATCAGTGGCATCCCTTGTGGAAATTTTTCTCAGAGAGTCTTACTTTCTCTGAAAAAGTCTGAATAATACTTATTTAGTCGGAAATAGTCAGAATAAGACTTATTTAGTCGGAAAAAGTCTGAATAAGTCTTATTAAGTCAGACTAATAGCAAGATTTGGGAGTCTTCTGGAAGAGTTAATAAGACTTTTTAAGACTTAATAAGACTTTTAGTAGAGAAATGGTAGGTACCTATGGCGATAAAAATAAATATCCGAAATAATTCATAGAGGTTGAATTTGGTTATCGTAAAATAAAACACATAGAAAGGTATTTATTAACATTTTTGCTGTTGTTATAAGCCAAGTTTATTGCATAATTACCTATATAATAACATAGGTAAGATGTAATAATTATAACAATTATAATTTTATACATACGATGCGCTTGAGATGCTTCATTGTTTCCACCATAGAAAAAGGAGTTAATATCATGTCTATAGACATGATATTTTCGATAGTCTCATAAGACAAATATGGTTGATCTTCGTGTTTCATTCATCTTTGTATCATGGTTGATCTTCGTGTTTACGTACAGTGTTGCCATAAAAGTTCGTGACCATAAATTACAAAATACTAAAATAATAATAAAAATGTAACAGGATAGAATAAAATAATTGTGCATATTTAGTAAATATACAATATTATTTACTGAAAATTTATTTTGTTATTATTTTGATAGAAATTTGCAAATCACCCGCAAATATTACGAAAATAACCGATTTTCGAGTAAAATACTTACAAACGGCAACACTGTGTCCCACTGACAGGTCAGCTGTGCTCTAATTGGTCAGCTAGCTGAGCTGGTCTCTCGATATTACGTCTAGAAGATTTGTTTGTAACAATGTTAAGATAGCTAAATATTTGCGTGTATCAAAAGAAACTATTAAAATAAAACGTACAGTGGCAACTCCTTTTTCTATGGTGGAAACAATGAAAGCATGCATGTCAAGCGCATCGTATGTATAAAATTATAATTGTTATAATTATTACATCTTACCTATGTTATTATATAGGTAATTATGCAATAAACTTGGCTTATAACAACAGCAAAAATGTTAATAAATACTTTTCTATGTGTTTTATTTTACGATAACCAAATACAACCTCTATGAATTATTTCGGATATTTATTTTTATCTCCGTAGGTACCTACCATTTCTCTACTAAAAGTCTTATTAAGTCTTAAAAAATCTTATTAACTCTTCCAGAAGACTCCCAAATATTGCTATTAGTCTGACTTAATAAGACTTATTCAGACTTTTTCCGACTTAATCAGTCTTATTCTGACTTTTTCCGACTTAATAAGTATTATTCAGACTTTTTCAGAGAAAGTAAGACTTTATCAGAGAAAAATTTTCACAAGAGATTAGTAATTATCAATGAAAAAAGCAGACTAAAGCTTAAAGCTACATTCGTAATAAATTCGCTGGCCGTGGCAATTTGACTCGCAAGCTAAGCAAATGTGTAACAGTGTGATCGTTCACAATGAAATTCGAGGTTAAAGTGGAAGTTGAAGTGGGCAAAATTTCTTGCAAGCTGCAAACTTCGACTTTCGTGCCGGCTATGCGATATGCGCATTGCCTTTGTTATGAAGGTTTGACATTTTCAATGGCGTTGAGTTTTGTGTGTGTAGTGTTTTTATTGTGATTAAATACATTTTTCTGGCTTTATTTAAATAAACTACCCATTGTTAATGTAAATGTATGTATGTATGTAACTTAATGTATACTAGTTTTTTATTATTATTATTTATTATAAAGAGAACATTAGTGTTTTTTAACACATTGTAATAAGAATTTATCACTAAATAAACTATTACACAACATAAGTAAACTATTTGATTGATTGTTGTCCATTTTTGCATTTAAAAAATAGCACCAAGCAAAAACAAAATAATGCAAATTCTAACCTTACAAAGAACATGACAGTTAACTGGTAATTACCAACGCCCATGCGTTAAATTCGACTCTAAAGTTATTGTGAATGGTAAATTTCGTTACGACTTGCGTGCCAAAGTGTCACTCGGCCAGCGAATTCATTACGAATGTAGCTTAACACTGCCAATCAATTTGTAAATGTAAATAATAAGAGAATTGAATGGGTTAATATTGCAAAAAATCTTGGCCTATATATGGACTCCTCGCTAAGGTTTGATGCACAGGTAAACAACGTATACATGTATACGTTGCTTGAGTTCAAACAAAACTCAAACCTTGATTTATCAAGTTTTGATGTTGTCTTGAGCTCACCTTGATTTAAATTTTTGAGGTTAAATCAATGGTTGAGCTCACATTGATTTTAATTTTTGAGGTTAAATCAATGCTTGAGCTTACATTGATTTTACCTCAAGAGTTGAAATCAATGTGAGCTCAAGTTTTGAGTTAACCTCAAAAAGTCGGTCCAAGGTTTGTAGTCATAATTTATAAATTTATATACATATATGTATAGGATGGATAAAAAAAACCTTATGGGTATACTTCTGTTAGTATTGTAAATCCATATCAAATAATGGCAGGCTTTTGCAATGGTTTAAAATATAATTTTAATAATAATAATTATTAAAAATATAATAATTGAACCAACAAGGATTCAATTTTTAAATAATATAATATTTATTAAAAATATAATTTTAATAATAATAAATATTATTATTAATATTATATTTTTAAACAATTACAAAGCCCGCCATTAATTGCAATTGCAAGCTTTCGCGAATCGCGGGCTACTTTACCGGCTTTATTCAGAGATTTTTTCGTGCATCAATACGCAAATTATTCTTGTGTCGTGAAAGTTAATATTAAAAATAAATTGGTAAGTAAACTTAAAATCCGTTAGTTACTGTTTTCTTAAGGAAAACATTGTAAATAAATACAACAAAATCAGGAGAAAGTAAGGTTATAATAAAGTTTGTTATTAATGAAATTTACATAATTGGAGTAGATAAAGCATAGTATTACACTCGAGATAATGCGCATTATTAACTCGTGGGTAATAGGCTGCATTATCTCTTGTATAATAATATACTATTATTTTTAATTTCCTTTATTTGTTTTTAGGTCATCTGCTGAAAGCAGAATATTTCAAGAGCTTGCTGAAGTTCTGCCAAATCAAAGGTAAATATATACTATAAATACTGTTGAAAATGCAGGTATTCTAAAACTTAACCTGAATTATTTCTCTTAGGGAAATTCTTCAAAGCTTTGTCAAACAGAATTGATGCTTTGTATGAGGGGACCAGTTTTGACGCAAAAATTTCCAGCATCCAACAGTTGAAGGGATTTCCATTGAAAAATTGGGCAGAATTTAACCAGTTCAAGTCCAGTGAAACACTTAATGAAAGAAAAAGTCTAGTGGGTTGAAATATCGTCAACCTAATATAACAAGGTTGTATGTAAAAAAAAACGAAAAAGTCTATGTGTCTACAGGATTATACGTGGCCTACGCTTCACATA